CTCCGAGCCTGCAGGAAGGGTCAGAACAGGGATAGGAAAACCAGAAGAGTGGACACTAAGACCCAGTGGGCGCCCCCAGCCACTTGGCGCCCTAGGCGACCCGGCCCTGCAAAGGACTAAGCCACTGATGCCTACTGAACTTATCCATAGACCAGCCCCATGGACTCTCTCTCTCTTCTCCTCTCATTGTGCTGTCTCCTTTCATAGGACAAGGGCAGGTGTGGTAGTTGTGTATCCCCACAGGCTAGGTCTCCGGAGCCATGGAGAAGTAGGAGGGGATGAAAATCATGCAGGGCAGTGGGTGCGAGAGTGGAGCGGTGACTGTCGGCGTTAACTCGGTCTCTGTTCATTGAGGGGGGCAGATGTAGATAGGATGGAAGAGGGAGGCAGGGATGAGGGCAAGAGCTCTGTGTAATGATGGCTCATGCTTGGCTTTTGCAGCTGCTCTTACAGAGGAATTGTTGTTCAGGAGCCCTAGCCAGAGGAGAAGCTGGCAGAAGTGGATCTGAGCAGCTTGGACATCCTTCTAAGCAGATATGAACAGTCCTCAGCTTTCTGCCTCCCTCATAACTACACTTCACGACTTTTAGCAGCACGGCTGAAGCCTAAGATAAATGCATGGTAGAGGCTGAGTACAGACGGCTGCTTCCCTTCAGGTGAGGCTTGGTTTCTCATAAAAGTTTTCCTCCTTGTTCTGGGTGTGGGAGGAGAATTTCCCTATTTTGGGATTAGCTGTGGGATTACGACCAGGGGAAGAGACAATAGTCTCCTCTGCACAGTGACTCTCTTGGGTGCAGGTGCAACGGGCTGCTTAACATTAGCACGTAAGAATGGCAATACTGGGTCAGACCAAAGGTCCATCTAGCTCAGTATCCTGTCTTCCGACTGGCTAATACCAGGTGCTTCAGAGGGAATGAATAGAACAGGTAATCGTGAAGTGATCTATCCTGTGTCGCCCATTCCCAGCTTCTGGCAAACAGAAGATAAGGGCACCATCCCTGCCCATCCTGACTAATAGCCATTGATGGACCTATTCTCCATGAATTGACCTAGTTCTTTTTTGAACCCTATTATAGTCTTGGCTTTCACAGCATTCTCTGGCCAGCAATTCCAGAGGTTAAGTGTGCGTTGTGTGCTTTTTAATTGTATCTATAAAGGTGTAATGGGACAGGGAGAAGAAGAACATACACCGATGATAACTTTTGTTTTTCCCTCTTGTGTTCTGCTTAGTAGGATGGAGAAAGAAGTCAAGGGTAAGAGCCCACCCCCGTTGTGAGATGGAAGGCGTGCAAGAGCCATGAGACAGTGAGCATTGTTGATGCCAGGCTATGGCGATGCCATCTAGCTGGAAGCGGAGTAGCCGTCACTGTCAGTGAGCTAAGTGTCTGGTTTGGTGAGGAGTCTGGTCACGGCCCACATGGCTCCAGGCAGGGATGCGCCGTTAGCTTGGTCTGTGTTTGTAAGAAAAGGTTCTCGTCTAGCTGTGGCTACGAGGGAGACGAGGTCCCCGTTATCAGGGGCTGCTCATTTTGTCTGGCCAGGAGCTGTGTGTCCACCGCAGCGAAAGGTTGCATCTAGGAGGATGACTCTAGCTGGTGAGTTTCTTGCCTTCCTTCCATGTTTCTCTCTCTCTTCTCTAGTGTGTTGTCTGACCCACTTTCTCGGTCTGTCCTTGTCTCTACTTGTTAGGTCTCCTTTCGTTGAACACGGGCAGGCGTGCTAGGTGTGCATCCCCACTGGCTAGGTCTCGGAAGCCATGTAGAAGTGGAAGGGGACAAAAATCACGCGGGGCAGTGCGCGCGAGAGTGGAGCATCACTGTCAGTGTTGACGCAGTCTCTGTTCATCGAGTGGGGTCGATGTAGACGGGATGGGAGAGGGAGGCAAGGATGAGGGCAAGATTTTGCCCATCAATTGAGTTTTGTGGAGTGATGGCTCCTGCTTGGCTTATTTGTGGCGCTTGCAGAGGAACAGTCGAGCAGCAGCCGAAGGAAAAGCTGGCAGAGGTGGACCTGAGCAGCCTGGACATCCTTGTAAGCAGAGATTAAAAGTCCTCCGCTTTCTGCCTTCCGCATAACTGACTGTGAGTAAGCCGTCAGTGCTTGGAATTCCTCATCTGTGCTCGCTCTAGTTTTCTTCACAGGCCGTGAGCTTCCTCACTGGGCACGGGGTTCTGTGGGATTGAGGCTGGGGAGGGGCCAGAGTCTGCTCTGCAGAGTGACTGTGTCGGGTGCCGTTGCAAGGGGTGCTTTTTGGTTGTAATGCTAAAGGTGTAACGGGAAGAGGGTTGAGGGCGGATATGCTCAGTCCTCAAGTCTCTTCCTTCTCTATCACTGGGTGAGCTTCCCTGGTCATGCCACTCTAGGTATCCTCTCTGAAGCAGGCTACATTCAGTAGCGGACGTGAGCAGGGGTCTGAGAGTAGCCCTCGGCCTGTGTCTCCAGTCACCAAGTTGCACCACACACGTTATGTGGAGGGTCCAGGGCTCTGCACAGCACTCCGGGCTGACCTGCTCCAGCCTGGGCTCCTGGGTCCTAACCCTCGTGGTTACTGCTCCCCGAGGGCTCTGCTGGCCCTGGAGCCCGACCCCAACCCGAGCAGCTCTTAAGGTCTGTGAGCGGTTGAAGGGCGGCCGGGAACTGAGGAGCAGCCACAGCCCCGGGACCCCACCCAGCACAAGGACAAGAGTGGGGAGCGCTGTGGCTGCCTGCATCATTGCGCCACCTAGCGCAGCAGTCGCCCTACCCTGCCTGGCTCTGGCTTCTGGGCTGGTGAAGGGCCGGAGCCTCTGAGGGGAGGAGGCGGAACTTGCACTTCAGTGAGGGGTGAGGCCTCGTGGTGGTGGGGGGGATGTAGCTGCCACAATTTTCTGTCTACCCCACCTCAGCTCCCCCAATGAGGAAGGGGCTGGTGCTGCCCCTGCTGCCCACAGGCTGTCACTGCTCCTCCAGGGCAGATGCACGCTGCGCATTTCCCCAACTGGCCACCGGGTGTCACCGCTGCTCCAGGAGAAACATAGTCTGTATACTTCTGTTAGTCTTAAAGGTGCCACAGGACCCTCTGTTGCTTTTTACAGTCTGTATGTTACCCTGCCTGGCCACCGGATGGCATTGATGGTCCAAGGCAGACAGCCCAGGCATTACCCCAGCTGGCCACCGAGTATCACTGCAGCGCTGTGGGGGGGAAATGGTTTCTGCCTTACCCTGAGTGTCCACGTAGTGTCTGTGTTGCTCCACGAGGGAAATGCTTTGTGCTTTGCCGCGAGTGGCCACCAAGTGTCACTGCTGCTGCATGGGGGACATGCTCTGTGCATTGCCGTGATTGGCCTCTGGGTGTCACTGTTGCTCCAGGGCAACTACATTCTGAGAAATACCCCAGGTGGCCTCTAAGATACATGTGTGGTAAAGGCTGAGTACAGACGTCTGCTTCCCTTTAGGTGGGGCTCGGTTTGTAATAAAAGTTTTCCACCTTGTTCTGGGTGCAGAGGGAGAATTTCCCTATATTGGGAGCAGCTGATCTTCCTGGACAGGGAGGAGCATGTTCACCTGAGCAGAGGCCTGGAACCGGAAAGGTGAGTACAGGTGCTGAGTTTGTCCTTCTTCCTATGTGTCTCTCTCTGAGCTCTCATATGTTGGCCAACATACTCTCTCTCTCTCCCCTTGTCCTGTCTCCTTGCATAGAACATGGGCAATGGTGCATGCTCACAGGCTTGGTCTGGGGCGTCTGCAACCCACTGGGGCATTGGGAGGGGGAAGAGAAGCATGATGGTACTAGATCCTCCATTGGTAGTGGTGGGGGTGACTGTGGGAGTTGACTGTCACTGTTCATCAAGTGGGGCTGATGTACAGTGGATGGGAGAGGGAGGGCAGTATCTCGTACACCAATAGAACTTTGGGCAGTGATGGCTCCTGCTTGGGTTATATGCTGTGTTTGCGGAGGAATCGCCCAGGAGCCCCAGCCAGAGGAGAAACTGGAAGAAGTGAACCTGAGCAGCCTGGACATCCTTGTAAGCAGAGATGAACAGTCCTCCGCTTTCTGTCTTCTCCATGACTGGCTGTGAGTGAACAATTATGGCACTCTATTGCTCATCTGTACCACTCTAGTTTTCTTCTACCATTCTCCTGCTGCTCTCTGGCCCTGCTGTATCACGGCACCCAGTGTCATTGTTGCTCCTTAAGGAAATGCTCTGTGCATTACCCCAGGTGTCCACCCAGTGCCACTGTTGCTCCATGGGGGAAATGCTTTGTGCATTACCTGGATTAGCCACCCAGTGTCACTGTTGCTTTATTTGGGAAATGCTCTGTGCAACTATACAGAGTGTCCACCCGGTGTCAATATTGCTCCATGAAGGAAATGCTCTGTGATTACCCGGGGTGGCCACGCAGTCTCATTTTTGCTTCATGAGAGAAATGTTCTGTGCAATTACACTGAGTGGCCACCGGGCGTCACTGCTGTTCCATGGGGGAAAAGCTCTGTCCATTTCCCCAAGTGGCCACCTAGTGTCTCTGTTGCTCCATGAGAGAAATGCTCTGTGCAGTCGTCCAACTGGCCGCCCAATGTCACTGCTGCTTCTTAAGGGATTGCTCTGAGGGTACTGCAGGTGACAACACAGTGTCACTGTTGATCAATGGGGGAAATTCTTTGTGCATTACCCCTTGTGGCCACCCAGTCAGTCTTGCTCCCTGAAATGCTTTGTGAATTACCTGGATTAGCCACCCAGTGTCACTGTTGCTCCCATTGGAAATACTTTGTGCATTACCGCGAGTGGCCACCAGGTGCCACTCCTGCACCCTGAAATGTTTTCTTCATTACCTGGATTAGCCAACAGGTGTCACTGTTGCTCCAGTAGGGTAATGCTTTGTGCATTACCCAACGTGGCCATATGGTGTCATTGTTAGTTCATGTGGGAAATGCTCTGTGCAATTACACCGAGTGGCCACCTGGTGTCACTGTTACTGCCTAAGGGAAATGCTTTGTGCATTCCCCTGGCGGGCCACCTGGTGTCACTGTTGCTCCACGAGAGAAATGATCACTCTGTTTCTGTTCATCCAGTGGGGCTGATGTAGATGGGATGGGAGAGGGAGGCAGGGATGAGGGCAAGATTTCACAAACCAATAGAGGTTTGTGTAGTGATGGCTCATGCTTGGCTTTTGCAGCTGCGCTTGCAGAGGAATTGGCCAGGAGCCCCAGCCACAGGAGAAGCTGGCACAAGTGGACCTGAGCAACCTGGACATCCTTCTAAGCAGATATGAACAGTCCTCAGGTTTCCGCCTCCCAGATAATTAGCTCTGAGTAAGAGGCCAGTGCTTTGAATTCCTCATGTGTGCTCCCTCTAGTTTTCTTCACAGGCCGTGTGGTTCCTCGTTGGGTACGGGCTCTGTGGTATCAAGGCTGCGGAGGGGCCAGAGTCTACTCTGCAGAGTGACTATGTCGGGTGCCGTTAAGGGGGCCAATACAGGGAGGAGAAAAGGGAAAGCGACCTGAACCCTGATTACAGGGCAGTCACCCTTTCTTTCGTAAAATACTCCTCCTTTACACAAGGAGGGGGGGGAGAGTCCCCAATGTGGAAAGATCTGGAAATGAACAGGGAAGTGAGGGATCCTGCTGAGTGTCCCCTTTCCAATCAATGCTCCATCCCTGAGCGACACCCTTCCCGACTTACCTCCTACCCCACCAAGAAAATGACAACTTTGTGCCCCCTACCTTTACCAGAAAAGACCCCTCTTACTTGTGACGCAGTCCTGTTAGTAGGGTTAGGTGCACCCACGTGCCGGCTCTGAATACCATCGCATCTACCTACAACACCTCAACATCAACACATTTCAGAAAGGACCGCCACATCAATCCCTTCGAACGTAGCCGGAGGAATCTCCTCTCTTTATCACCAAAGAGACACGAGGCCTGGAATTCGGACACAACTAACGGAGCTGTCCGAATCCCTACAGTTGACACTCCTCGATCCGACAGTGTTCTTTCTTGTGCCCAAGAAAACAAAGGGTGAAAGTTGTGGTTGGTTGAGCGGTGTAAATT